AGGCGGAGATTGCAGTGAGCCAAGATTGCACCATTGCGCTCCAGTGATTAAACTCCGTCTCCAAAAAAACAATACAGAGAACACCAATATCCAAAACGTGACACTTACTCAACAAGTATCCAGTGTTTTCAAACTGTACCTTTTCCAAGTACAGAAAGACTTTTCACATTTTGGATTTTACTTAAATGATTGTTTGACTGCCTCTCTCATTAGGCTGTAAGGCCTATGAAGATAGAACAGTATGTGCTTTGCTCAACCACCAAGGCTAGTCCAGCACCTGGCATAAGGCAAACATTCAAATAGTTGCAGGGTTTAAAAAGTTTTTTTAAGATAAAAGACCCACAAATAGAACTCACTGACATGTCTATTCAAAACTTACAAAGATGGCTGGTATGGTAGTTGATACCTGTAATCTCAAACGCTTTAGGAGGCCAAGGTAGGAGGATTGCTTGAGGCTAGAAGTTCTAAACCAGCCTGGGTAACATAGCAAGACCCCCCCCCCCATTCCTAACATTTAAAAATTGGCTAGAGCCCAGGCACAGTGGCTCACGTCTATAATCCCAGCACTTTAGGAAGCCAAGGCAGGAGGACCATTTAAGCCCAGGAGTTCAAGACCAGCCTGGACAACATGGTGAGATTTCATCTCTACAAAATATATTTTTTTTCCCCAGGATGGAATCTTGCTCTGTCGCCCAGGCTAGAGTGAAACTCGGTTCACTGCACCCTACACCTCCAGGATTCAAGCGATTCTCCTGCCTCAGCCTCCTGAATAGCTGGGATTACAGGCACGTGCCACCATGCCTGGCTAATTTTTTGTATTTTTTTTAGTAGAGATGGGGTTTCACCATGTTGGCCAGGCTGGTCTCAAACTCTTGACCTCATGATCTACTCACCTCAGCCTTCCAAAGTGCTGAGATTACAGGTGTGAGTCACCATGCCGGCCTCTAAAAAAACTTTTAAAAACTAAAATGGGCTGCGTGCAGTGGCTCGCACCTATAATCCAAGCACTTTGGGAGGCTAAGGAGGGTAGATCACCTGAGGTCAAGAGTTCAGGACCAGCCTGGTCAACACAGTGAAACCTAGTCTCTACTAAAAATACGAAAAATAGCTAGGCGTGGTGGCATGTGCCTATAATTCCAGCCACTTAGGAGGCTGAGGCAGGACAATCACTTGAACCCAGGGGGGTGGAGGCTGCAGTGAGCCAAGATGGCGCCACTTCACTCCAGCCTAGGCAAAACAAACTCTGTCTCAACAGAAAAAATCCCAATGGTAGAAGTAATACAAAAGGCTGAAGAATAGGATCAGATTCCAGAACTACAGTAAGGCTCTCTGATTCACTGATCTTGCAGGATAGCTGTTAATCTAGTTATACTGAAGACACTTGGTCATGGTTTGGGCAGTATCACACATCAATTCCCAAGAAACTGATCATGAGAGCCCCTGGATATGGCCAGTCTTCAAGACCTAGGCCTTGATTTATCAATTAGAAAGTACCAAGACAATTCCTTGTCAGTGTGTACAACCAAATTAATGTTGTACAGGAGGAATTTTAAATCTCACAAATTTCTGCCAATTCCTTGTCAGTTTGTATAACCAAAGGACCAATACTGAAGAGACCACAACTCCCAAGACTTCCTCCAGGCCCAGGAGAACTTGAATAAAAGGTGCTTTGTTCCCAAAGAACATACTGGCCACAATATCACTAGGGAAAGAAAACATATTGCTGTTGCTATCATTCTTCCTACTGTTTCTGAACAAAATATAAACATTTCTCCTACTCCTTCTTCCTTTTAGTGAAAAGAATTAGCAAAAATGAACTATTTTAGGAAAAGTTACAGTGCCATCAACATTGCCACACCATCTGATAACCTTACCATAAGCCAATGTTTTCCTGACAAGGTCTCGCTGTTACCCAGGTAGGAATGCACTGGTGCAATCACGGCTCAGTGCAGCCTCAAACTCCCAGGCCCAAGGGATCCCCCAACCTCACCTCCCAGGTAACTGGGACCACAGGCATGAACCACAACGTAAAGCTGACTTTTTATTGATTGACTGACTGACTGATTGAGATGGAGTCTTGCTCTGTCACCCAGGCTAGAGTACAATGACTCAATTGCAGCTCACTGCAGCTTCCACCTCCCAGGTTCAAGAGATTCTCCCATCTCAGCTGCCTGAGTAGCTGGAATTACAGGTGTGCACCACCACAGCCGGCTAATTTTTGTATTTTCAGTAGAGACGGGGTTTCACCATGTTGGCCAGGCTGGTCACGAACTCTTGACCTCAAGTGATCTGCCTGCCTTGGCCTCCCAAAGTACTGGGATTACAGGCGTGAGCCACCATACCTGGCCAAACATTTTTATTTTTGTAGAGATGTGACCTCCCTATGTTTTTTAGAATAGTTTCAAACTCCTGGGCTCAAGTCATCCTCCAGCCTCAACCTCCCAAAGTGCTGGGATTACAGATGTGAGCCACGTTGCGCCCAGCTCCTCTAAAAATTTTATACAAATTATGCAGAATCTTTTTAAATCTCACAAAGCTCTGAATATGTCTTATGTCAACATCCAGATTTACGAAAAAGTACAATATGAGAAAGAACTCTCCTACCTTAAAAATGAATTCAGTTTCAATCTGCTAAAAATCCTGGGTGAAAAAAAGTCTCATTAAGTCACATTCATGGACTGTCATTAGATATATCACTCTGTAATAAACCACTTTTATTAGTGATTTCTAGCCTTTGCATCAAAAATCTAGACATACTAATACAACAAAATTTAAGTAATCAAGTATTAGTTTAGCAATTAGATGTTGCCAAGTATATACGAGCTACAAACAAAAATAAATAGGCACAGTGACTCATGCCTGTAATCCCAGCACTTCGGGAGGCTGAGGCAGGCAGATCACCTGAGGTGAGGAGTTCAAGATCAGCCTGGCCAACATGGTGAAATCCCGTCCCTACTAAAAATACAAAAAATTAGCCGGCTGTGGTGGTGCACACCTGTAATCCCAGCTACTCAGGAGGCTGAGGCAGGAGAATCGCTTGAGCCCAGTAGTCAGAGATTGAAGTAAGCCAAGATGGTGCCACTTCACTCCATCCTGGGCAAGAAGAACGAAACTCCCTCTCAAAAAATAAAAATAAAGGCTGGGCACGGTGGCTTATGCCTGTAATCCCAGCACTTTGGGAGGCCGACGCAGGCAGATGACCTGAGGTCGGGAGTTAATAAAGACCAGCCTGACCAATATGGAAAAACCTCGTTTCTACTAAAAATACAAAATTAGCTGGGCATGGTGGCACATGCCTATCCCAGCTACTTGGGAGGCTGAGGCAAGAGAATCACTTGAACCCAAGAGGTGGAGGTTGCAGTGAACTGGGATTGCACCACTGCACTCCAGCCTGAGCAACAAGAGCAAAACTCGGTCTCAAAATAAATTTTAAAATTTAAAAAATAAACAGGATTTCAAAATGTTGTATTAAAGTTTGCTTCAGTATTATCTAATTCTAGAATACAAAAACGTATTATTTCAAAAGTTTACACTGTCTCACTGACCCTTTCCCAAAAGTGACAATCCCCATTACTACTCTAATAATGTGAATAAAGTCAACCTTTCGAATTCTATATGGCTTCCTAATACTCAAGTGTAGCTTAATACTATAAAAAGTACACAGAAATTGAAATTTATAAAAAACAATCAATGTAAAGTAAATAACCAATGAATTTTTCCACACGAAGCTTCTCCTTTGCTTATGGCTGCTTGCTAAACCTTTACCCAGCCATTCCTCTGAACCTCCAAAATCAAGAACCTTTGTATAAAAAAAGTGCACTAAGAAGTCCAGGAATGGTGGCTCACACGTGTAATCCCAGCACTTTGGGAGGCCGAGGTGGGTGGATCACTTGAGCCTAGAAGTTCAAGACCAGCCTAGCCAACACGACAGAACTCCATCTCTACTAAAAATTGGCTAAGTGTGGTGGCGAATACCTGAAATCCCAGCTACTCAGGAGGCTGAGGCACGAGAATCACTTGAACCAGGGAGGCAAAAGCTGTAGTGAGCCAATATCACACCACTGTACTACAGCCTGGGCAACACAGCAAGACTCTGTCTTTAAAAAAAAAAAAAAAGCACTAATAAATTTCGACAAGTGTGCTTGGTGAGATCCACTGGCCTCATTCACCAAAACATAGATAGGCATATATGTTAACCCTTTACAACAGGCAAAACAAAATATCCTTTGTGTGCAAAGCTACATACAGGACATTTTTCTGGAATGCTAGAAACGGAAAAATATCTAGAAGCTTCTCTGGGAGTATGCCTAGAACAGCCACCATTTTACCTTCTCTGAGACCTGCCCCCTCATTAGGAGGGAAACCTTTCAGCTGTGTTTGCACTTCTAGACTCCAACCTCATGTCCATAACTAATTTAATCAATGACAGAGAACTGAACCAAGTTTAGCCAGTCAAATTTCCCCCCTCCGAAGAATCTGAAATGTAGACACTGCTAGCAATCAGTTGGCTACTTGCACTAGAGCTTAAGTTCATAAGTGGCTTCAAGAATTAAGTGGACCTTTGCTACCATGTGTTTGTTAAAGCAGAAAAAGCCAGACTGCACAAACACAACTAAAACAGGACAAAAAGACGAGAGGACAAAAGTGCTATCTACAAGTACCATGGCTCCTGAAAGCTTCCCAGTTTCTGGTTCACGTCCCTCATGAAGTCAACGGCTCTTTGGTTCTTTACAGTACCCCACCTCCAAAGCATTCCTTCTTGTTTCTTGCCAACAAAAAATTATTATGACAGTTTAAGACACAAATTCATACCAGGATCGATGCAGAAAGGTATGTTACTCTTACTGTTCATAAAGGATCCGACAGGTACCAGGGAAGAAGTTTCTACTTACTACCCAAAACCTCAGGAGAAATAATGGGGCAAAAGTAACTGAAACCTAAAAGCAGAAATCACCTATTTGCAAAAGCCCTCAGGCTCTGTGCTTCCCTTCCACACTTACCTGTTCAAAAATTCTGCTGGTTCACAGCAAGAGATTTGAGCAGACTTTGTTCAGATCCTTTTAACACTGTAAATAATAAAGATATTAATATAAATCACCCAGCAACCTCTTAAGAAACTTTAAAAGTACAACTTTTCATCACGAATATACTTTGCAGAAATGGCTTGCAAACCTGGTTAAAAGATTAGATCACCTGGTGTATTTATAAACTAGATTCCCTAACATCTAGAAAGCCTCAGTAGCTCTACAGTGGAACTGAAAACTATATTTAACAAAAGTCCCAAGTGATTCTTATGAAGCTGACAAATGAACACCTCCATAGGGTTTCAGGGAAGTGATTATTTAGGGTTTTTATTCAAAACCCTATTATAGGGACTTGTATATTAACTTTTAAAACCTACTGCCAGACACAGTGGCTCATTCCTATAATCCTAACACTTTGGGAGTCTGAAGCAGGTAGATCGATTGAGCCCAGGAGTTCAAGAACAGCCTGGGCAACATGGCAAAACTCCATCTCTACAAAAAACAGAAAAATTAGCTGGGCATGGTGGTACATGCCTATGGTCCCAGCTACTCAGGAGGCTGAGGTAGAAGGATCCCCTGAGCCTAGGGAGGTCAAAGCAGCAGTGAGCCTCAATTGCACCACTGCACTCCAGCCTGGGTGAAACAGTGAGACCCTGTCTCAAAAAAATAAAAAATAAAATATATCTAATAAAAAAACAAAAGCCACATCACAGCAATATGCATCCTACCCAAATAATCACTAATCCCTTAGAAATAAGATCATTGCCAAAATGTCCAGGGAGCAAAGCTCCAAGTGTGATTTCAGTTGCGAAATCACAACCTGCCTTTAATGCTCTGTTGGGATAGTATCTTAAAAATCCACAAGTTGGTGATATTCCAAGTGAATTGAAGTATATTTTCAAGCAGTTTCTTGGCTAAAATCAAATGATACTTTGCTGCTACTAACAAGTCAAAGAACAATAATTAACAATAAAAGTTGACAATTTCATTAACTATAGAAAAGCAACTAGACAGATAGACAGATTATTTTTTTCTTTTGAGACAGAATCTCACTCTGTCACCCAGGCTGAAGTGCAGTGGTGCGATCTCAGTTCACTGCAGCCTCCGCCTCCTGGGTTCAAGCGATTCTCTTGCCTCAGCCTTCTGAGTAACTGGGATTACCAAGTGTGCACCACCACATTCAGCTGATTTTTGTATTTTTAGTAGACATGGGGTCTCACCATGCTGGCCAGGCTGGTCTCCAACTCCTGACATCGAGTGATCTGCCCACCTCTGCCTCCCAGAGTGTGGGATTACAGGCACGAATCACTGTAACTGGCCAATTATTTTCAAAATGGGGTCTTACTTTTGTTCCCTCAGCTAGAGTGTAGTGGTGCAATCAGAATTCATTGTAGCCTTGACTTCCTGGGCTCAAGCGATCCTCCAGCCTTAATCTCCCGAGTAGCTGAGATCATAGGTGTGTGCTGCACACTCAGCTAATTTTTAAAAATCTTTTTTAGAGATGGGGTTCTCGAACTCCTGGGCTCAACTGATCCTCCTACCTCAACCTCCCAAAGTGCTAGGACTATAGGTGTGAACTACTGCACCCAGCCATAGATGAGTTTATTATCCATTTCTCCTCTTTCCACCTGCCCTCAAAAAAAATACACAGTTCAGGGAGTAAAGCTGGATGACCTTTGGACATTATAACATGGCTACTTTTTTCTGCATAATTAAATCAGAGGTGGATGTGACTTTCTCAAATTACTTGGTGGGGAGCAGTGGCTCTGGCCTATAATCTCAGCACTTTGAGAGGCTGAATTGGGGTATCATTTTAGGCCACAAGTTTAAGACCAGCCTCGGCAACACAGTGAGAACCCATCTCTATAAAAAATATTGGCCAGATGTGGTGGTGTGGACCTGTAATTCCGGCTACTTAGGAGGCTGAGGTTGAGAAGATGGCTTGAGCCTGGGAGGTCAAGGTTGCAGTGAGCCAAGATTGCACGGCTCACTGCACTCTAGCCTAGGTGATAGAGCAAGACTCTCTCCAAAAAAGACAGGGTCTTGTTCTATCACCTGTCTGGAGTGCACAGGTGCAATCACAGCTTACTACAACCTTGACCTCCCAGGAGACAAGGTCTTGCTCTCTATCACAGGCCACAGTGAACCAAGATTGGGCCCCTGAACTGCGGCCTGGGCAACACAGTGAGATTCCATCTCAAAAAATAATAAGAATTAATTATGCTTAAGTTAATGAAACCCCATAGTTAACAAGAAAACACAATTATGTTCCTTATTTAAAGTAGGGAAGTAGGTAAGACTTTGAAATATTTTTATAAAATGAAGTTTGGTCAATTAAGAGAACATTCTTTGTTTTTCAAACCTCTCTCCTCTTTTAACCTCACACAAAATTATAGGCAATTCAATAAAGGTATCACTTTACATTTCTGCATAATTAATTTAGTATATTTCTCATTCATCTGAGAGCATGAACAAAATGTAAAAACAATATTTGGTCAAGAAACACTGCAATGCAAACTATAAGCAAGTTTATACATGAAATAAAAATCTCTAGTTTTAAAGCGATGTAATTTTTCAAGGCATTAAAAATGAATGGAAACCTTAGGATTTTTTTTTTATCTCATTTTAAACTTCTGTTTATTTCTTTTTCATTTTATATATTTGTTTATTTTATTCTTAAAATACTCTTCTATGCAAAAACCATAGGACTTTATCACCATAAAACTCTAGTGGAAGTCAAGCAATGGAAAAAAACCTGAGTTCAGACTTTTACAACAATGACCAAACAATACCATGGTAATTTAAACTAAAGGAAAATGGACATTTAACTTGCCTCTAAGAGACTGGGTTAACACCAAGATAGGCTGAAGATTCAACCTAATGAGACTGGGTCCCACTAAAATCTATAAGAAATAGAATAAAACAGAAAGTATGGAAAATTTAATCAGCAGAGGCTAATGGAGACCTGCAAACAGTCAGAATTTGAAAATGGCACAGGTCAAAGATTCGTTAGAAGGGCAATCATAAAAGGGACAGTAGTAGTCTTTTTACCCAAAAAGGTTCTCCCAGACAGCAATCACTATCAATTGTGTCATTTTCCAATGTGAAGGTCAACAAAGAGAATACACATATGGAGTATTAAAATGCAGAGTCATGAAAACAAATGAGCTGATATGACATCAAAGACATTATAATTTGGAAATGTCATTTCAAAAACACAACAGAAAAACAAGAGGGAGAAAAGCAATTAGTTAAAATACTACCTCATCACTACCATCACTATGCCTCCCTTTTAGCCAAGGAGTTGCATTCACACACTGACCTTGTAATTCCCATCTTCTCATGATTTTGAGGCAAACCTACTCCAAAATGTTTTTCACATATGCCTCTCAGCAGCAAAAGCATTTCAAAATCAAAATATTAAAATTCCTCAGCTGAACTAAAATGAAAGAGGACATTTGTGAAAGCTCAGTATAAAGAATATGGAGATAAACTGGAAGGAAATCAGAAAATATTTTTTACATGAAAAATGTGTCTATTAAGTATCCCATTAGTCTGAAGGTAAAAGTGGAGGAATAAAAAAGCACAAAAAGTTCTACACATGTAAAATGTTCTAAAGGATACACACATGGCTTACAGGAAGAGTCCCTAGGCTGGACAGCACAGTATTAACAGACATTCTTTCCTAACCAGATTAAGGATAATTTGAGTTACTATACTGATTCCACCTTTCTACCTGGTTATGTTCCTTAATTATGTGTCTAAATGTCAAAGGAAAATTTCTCATTTCCCTACATTTTCAAATATCCTGAAATTTCCAAATATCCCCCTTCTTAAAAGGCAACTGCTTTTGAAAAGTACTTTCAAGCTATTTATCATCAATCTCATTTTAAAACGTTTACTTCTGAGAAAGATAATTCATTATAATTTCCTGAAATATTTGAGCATCCTAAATTTTTCCAAATATGGGTGGAGAAGGGAATTACATAGGGGATAGGGGTTGGGAGGCTGCTGGCCCAAATCTCCAGAATCTGATTTCCCTTTCTAAGAATCATAAGAGATAAGGAAAAAGAATTCAGGGTAGCAAATAATCCATCTCATCTTAATACTACAGAGGTAAGTACACACATCTCCTAACAGTCTCCCTCTCACCCTTGTCTCTTAGCCTAGGCTACCCTCCATACTTTTCCCAGTCTACTCCTGAGTCGCTCCCAACTAAGTTTTTGGGTCTGTGTCTTTGCTCTCACTGCTCCCTAGCAGCTTGCTGGAGCACCCTTCCCCCTGTATAGCTAAAGAAACAGCACCTTCACCTCTGTGGGGTTTTGCTACAATGTTATCTGTTCCATAAGGCCTTCGCAGGGCACTTAAAATGAACCCCTCCCCAAATCGCTATTGCCCTATCTCCCTGACTCATTTTTTCTTTCACCTCACTTACCACTACACCATGTATTTTACCTATTTATCTGTCTAGAAATGAATTCCATACAGACAGGAATTACTTGGTCTGTTTTGCTCCCAGCACATAACGGTGTAGTAAATGCTCAATAGGGTATCTGTCAAATAAATGAATGCATGAATGAATAAATGAATGAACGAAAGCACATGGTCCCTTCTCCCTCCCCAAGACTCTCAAATACTTTGTCAGGTATCAAAAAGGAATGAAGCCTTCTCCTTTCTAGTGAATCACTACCATCACCAGTGTATTCCTTGATGTTAAATTTCAAAAGAAAAATCATGTGACGTTTTTCCAGTTACGTGCCACTTTGAAATACTTTTCTAGTGTCCTCTTCTGATGTCAACATCTGATGTAAAAGAAAAGTACACACACATTCCATTTTGAGCACGCCAAACACTGCTATACCAACTAGTAAAACACGTGAAACCATCAATGAATGAGAGAAAGCATTTGTGTTTTAGGCAAAACCGACGAAGTCTGTAAGGTCAAATCTACAAGTATTAGAAGGATCAAAATTAATATACAGAAAGAATGACTTTTTTTTTTCTAATCTACGAAGTCATTTGATTCTAAAAACGAAATAATATATAAGGAAAGAATACCTTCCCCAAACACAACACTGGGACTCAAAACTGCCTTAATTCAAGGTATATAGCACTAGATAGGAAGTTGTTCACAGGTTCTGGCCCCATACTCAATTTCTTGCAAGTTAAACTGGAATACTTACCTTTCTTACAGAGAGACATGTGTTTAAGTGCTCTGACTTGCAGGAAAATGAAAACAAAATAAAAAAACACAGCACTAGATCACTGCAAAAACGTTATTGCTTCTCAAACACGGTCACACACTCCGCTTCTTTCGTGACCCCATTCCCTGCTAGCTTGATTTATGTTTCAGTTGCAAAATAAGTATTTAAAGTGGTTTTGGAAACTGCTGACACTTAAGACTAATGGCTATTTCAACCTGATGTGAACATTTGGGTCCCCAAAACTGCCCTGGGCCCTACTTTCCCTGCCTCAGTCCCAAGGTTCCGATCATGGTGGCTCCACCTCGCCTCAGGCCTGGTCCAGACCCAGTACTCTCGCCAACGAAGGAGTTGCCTCCGTCCAGATGCTCCGTGGGGAAGGCAGAAGCGCACCTCCCAGGGGCCAGGTGTGGACAGGGGAGCCGGCAGGAGCAGCTGCCTGACCGCAGCAGCTGCTACCGGGGCACCCCGAGGCTGGGCGGGTGACTGGCCCGCAGAAGTAGGCAGAGGAAGGCAAGCCTTCGGGCTCCGAGCAAGCCGGCCTGACTGCCCCACCACCCTCCTGGCTTGTTCTGCTCCTCCAGCAATGCCAAGAGGCCCTGGCCGAGGGGCTCCTCGGCTCCCCGCGGCCGTGACGCGCCAGGGCCCTCAGCGTCCCTCGCCCAGGAGGAGGCTCCCTCCGGCCCTGCACCTGACCTGTCCCGTCGCCTGACGGCCCAAGCCGGCCGGAGCGGCCTGTGGGTGTCCATGCGGCCAAGCCGGCTCGGGCAGGAGCGGCGGGGACGCAAGCGCGGGTCAGAAGCACGGGCGGCTCGGGACGCCGCGGCGGGGCCGGGGCGCGGGGCAGAGCCGGGCAAGGGAGCTACACGGAATGGCTGGTTACCTGCGGTCCGGGACAGGGAGTCTCAGAACCCAAGTCAGTCCTCAGCCTCAACAACACAAGATGGCCGACACGTCGCCACGCGCGTCACGTGACCGCGCGTTCGCTCGGCCACGCCCCTTGCTCCGCCCCCGTCCCTTCCCGCTTCCCTCCCCACTCTCCAGTCTCCCACGACATCCTTCCTTTCCGCCGCCACCCGCCCCTCTACCCAGACACGCCCCTGCCCGAGACCCGGATGAAAGGCTGGAAGAGGGCGGGGCCGCGGCACTGCGCAGGCGCCCGCTGACCCCTTGGCAGCTGCTGGGTACCTGCCCTTGAGTTGAGTGGACCTGGTGTCCAGAGTTGGGCCCAGACCAGGCACCCTGTGACTCACTGTTCTGTACTCCCAATCCAGAGCCCGTTTGCAGTTCAAAATCCTCTGCATCCCTTACGGGCTGGTTTTTCAAGTTAGAACTTTTCCACACTTTTAGTCTAGCATTTTCCTGTCCAGTTGCCATCCTAGAGAGAATGGGAAAGCCACAAAAGCTGAAATTCAAAGCAGTTTCTCTACTTGTTAACAGTTCTGATAGAACTGAGAATTCATTCCAGAGTGTTGGACTGGGACAGCTAGGAAAGACTTTAGAGCTCCGACTCCATCCTAGGACATCTGGGGCTATAACTCTTACCTAGAGATGAACTATTTTGGAATTGACAGATAAAATACAAGACACCCAGCAATATTTGGGGCACACACTAAAATAACTGTTCGTTATTTTTCTGAAATTCAAATTTAACTGGGCGTCCTGTGTTTGCTAAATCTAGCAACCCTATCCTTAGGCATCCCATTCTTGCCTGTGTCTTCAACTTCTTCCTACAGGAGCCTTTCTGTCAGTTCTTTAAAGTGTCTCCCATCTTAAAATGGAATGTTAAAAATTCCAGTTCTGGCAGGGCACAGTGGCTCATGCCTGTTATCCCAGCACTTTGAGAGGCCGAGGCGGGCGGATCACGAGGTCAGAAGATCGAGACCATCTTGGCCAACATGGTGAAACCCCCGTCTCTACTAAAAATACCAAAACGGGCGTGGTGGCGCGTGCCTGTAATCCCAGCTGCTCGGGAGGCTGAGGCAGGAGAATCGCTTGAACCAGGGAGTCAGAGGTTGCGGTGAGCTGAGATCGCACCAATGCACTCCAGCCTGGCAACAAAGCAAGACTATGACTCAAAAAAAAATAAACCCTCCAATTCTCCCTCCAACTAATTCCTGCGACCCTGTTCCCTTTCTTTCTTTTCTTTCTTTCTTTCTTTCTTTTTTTTTTTTTTGAGACGGAGTTTCGCTCTTGTTACCCAGGCTGGAGTGCAATGGCGCGATCTCAGCTCACCGCAACCTCCGCCTCCTGGGTTCAGGCAATTCTCCTGCCTCAGCCTCCTGAGTAGCTGGGATTACAGGCACGCGCCACCATGCCCAGCTAATTTTTTGTAGTTTTAGTAGAGACGGGGTTTCACCATGTTGACCAGGATGGTCTCTATCTCTTGACCACGTGATCCACCCGCCTCGGCCTCCCAAAGTGCTGGGATTACAGGCGTGAGCCACCGCGCCCGGCCCGACCCTGTTCCCTTTCAAAGCCAAGCTGCACCAAAGAATTGTTTATATGCACTTTCTCCATTGCCACCCCTGACGTGCAATCATCAACCACTCCAAGGTGGCTTCTGTCCTTTCCTATCTGCCTATTGCTTACCCTGAGAACACCCCATCTTACAGGTTGATAACAGGAGTCTTTCAGTCCTCCGCTTGACTACGCGTTTTCCTGTCTTCAATACAATTGACCACTTCCTACATTCTGAAACACTTTCTTCCCTTGACTTTTATACCCTTACTGCTCAAAGTGGTACAGTAACATCCACATCACATGGAGACTTGTTAGAAATATAGAAACTCAAGGAAGCCCTTCACAATCCCATTCTGCAGAATTCTACCCCCAAAGCTTGAGAAAACATAGAGAGATCCCATCTCTACAAAAAATAAAATAAAAAATAATTAACCGGCGGGGGACAGAGGCTCACGCCTGTAATCCCAGCACTTTGGGAAGCCGAGGCGGGAAAATCACAAGGTCAAGAGATCGAGACCATCCTGGCTAACATAGTGAAACCTATCTCTACTAAAATACAAAAATTCGCTGGGCGTGGTAGCACACGCCTGTAGTCCCAGATACTCAGGAGGGTGAGGCAGGAGAATTGCTTGAACCCAGGAGGCATAGGTTGCAGTGAGCCGAGTTTGCACCACTGCACTCCAGCCCAGCGCCTGGTGAAAGAGCAAGACTCTTTCTCAAAAATAACAATAATAATAATTAGCCAGGCATGGTGGCATGCATCTGTAGTCCCAGCTACTTGGGAGGCTGAGGATCACCAGCACAGGAATACAAGGCTGCAGTGAGCTCTGATCATGCCACTGCACTCCAGCCTGGGCAAAAGAGTAAGACCCTGTCTCTAAAACAAAAATCAAAAAGAACTCTGCTCCCATCATCCACATTGTTCTCCTCTCCTTGATCTTCCCCATGAACTAAGTGCTCCAGATAGGCCCATGTTAGAAGATTTGTAAACATGACGTTATGTTTTAGCCTTTGCACATGCTGTTCCATCCTGTTGCAATGCCATTCTCAACATTTACCCCACTTCTCCCCAGCCTGCAACTCCTGCCAATCCATGTGTTACTGTCTCTGTGCCTCCATTAGACCAAAGAATTTACCCCTTGTCCTGTTTTTTGTTTGTTTGTTTGTTTGTTTAAGACCGGGTTTCACCATGCTGGCCACGCTGATCTTGAACTCCTGACCTCTAGTGATCCACCCTCCTTGGCCTTTCAAAATGCTGGGATTACAGGCGTGAGCCACCGCACCTGGCCTGAGCTGTTATTTTCAAGGAAAAAAGTAATACTGATACTTGTTATGTGCCAACCACCTCATTAAATGCTGTTTTTGCACTGTCTCTTGTGATCCTGGTAACAGCACTACGGAGCAATGCAACCAGGCTTCTCAGAGAAGTGCTTACCTTCTCCAAATCTCAACCAGGATTTCCAAGCACAGACTGGCTGATTGCAGAGCCCATGTCCCTAACCAACTTGTCATGCCACCTCTCAGATGCTATCCCACCTGTACATTACCTATATATATACTTTTTAAGATACAATTTGCACACAGTAAAATTTACCATTTTTAGTGCACAGTTTTGCAACTTGAGACACATATATACAGGTGGCCGGGCACAATGGCTTATACCTGTAATCCCAGCGCTTTGGGAGGCCGAGGCAGTCAGATCACCTGAGTTCAGGAGTTCAAGACCAGCCTGGCCAACATGGGGAAACTCCATCTCTACTAAAATTACAAAAAAGATTAGCCAGGCATGGTAGCGCAGACCTGTAGTCCCAGCTACTTGGAAGGCTGAGGTGGGAGGATCACTTGAACCTGGGAGGCAGAGGTTGCAGTGAACTGAGATTGTGTGCCACTGCACTCCAGCCTGGGTGATAGAGACCCTGTCTCAAAAAAAAAAAAAAAAAGCCGAAAACAATCCCTGCTTTTAACCGTTGTGCACACCGCATTATTCCGCTCAGCAACCTGTGCAGATGCTATTGCCCTGACACACAGCAAATGTTCAACAAATACCAATAAAATGTAATCGATTCTTGATTATCAACTCTTTAGGAAGGGTGCTTTTCTTTTCTCCTTTAAGTAACTCTGTCTTTCCAGTGTTTTGCTAAATAGTGGTATTTAAACTACCACCATGCTTTTGTCGGGAATAATGAAGTTTCAGCTATAGTACACCATTGATAGAGAAATTGAGATGGTAGATCATTTGAGATGGGAGAAGGGTAAGGAGTTTAATCCAAAACAAGTTTAATTTGTCATGAGCACATAGCTGGGCATGATGCTACATACCTGTAATCCCAGCTACTTAGGGGCTGAGGCGTAGGAATTGCTTGAACCTGGGAGGCAGAGGTTGCAGTGAGCCAAGATCATGCCACTGTACTCCAGCCTGGGCAACAGAGCAAGACTGTCTCAAAATAAATAAATAAATAAATAAAATGTTTTAAAATTAGTGGGATGTTGTGGCACACACCTGTAGTTTCAGCTACTTGGGAGGCTGAGGTGGAAGGATCTTTTGAGTTCAGGAGTTTGGTGCTACAGTGAGCTATGATTATGCCACTGTACTCCAGCCTAGGTGGAAAAAAAAAAAGACAGTTGTACCAGAGAACTGAACAAACAAGAAAGGGTATGCAGACAATGGCTATGCAAATAAACCCATTTTTATGTTTGAAAAACTTTGTTATTATAAAAGTAATTGCATATTTAAATTATTTTCTCATTTCCAGCCTCTGAATGTACAAGACATTAAATCATTTATTTAAAAAAAAACCTTGGAATACAATAAATGTATCCTTTCACCTAATATCCCATGATATATCCCAAAATGTTATTCATTTTTTTTCTGAATATTTTGCATCTTTAGGGTTTCACATTTCTTCTGTCCCAGAGGATTCCCACATGAATGTTCAACTGCTCTTCTTGTTTTCTTTGTGGTCAGAGATTCTCCTCTCTTTTTTATTTATTTTTAATTTAATTTTTTTTTGAGATAGAGTCTCACTCTGTTGCCCAGGCTGAAGTGCAGTGGCATGATCTTAGCTCACTGCACCCTCTGCCTCCAGGGTTCAAGCAATTCTCCTACCTCAGCTGCCCTAGTAACTGAGATTACAGGCATGTGCCACCACACCTGATTAATTTTTGTATTTTTAGTAGAGACGGGGTTTCCCCATGTTGGCCAGGCTGGTCTCGAACTCCTGACTACTGACTCCTCAAACTCCTGACTCAGGTGATCCACCCACGTCGGCTTCCCAAAGTGCTGGGGTTACAGGCGTGAGCCACCATGCTTGGCCTCTCTTTTTTTTACTAACTGTTATTAACAATTCTGCTGCTGGTGGTGGCAGTAGTGGGAGTCACTGTGGTTCTAAAGCAATGTATGTTTATGGCTTTATAATTTTTAGAGTTCAAAAACGTATAAAGGAAAAAATTGAAGTGTCCCCTCCCCTGCAAGACCTATGTAGGACCCTCGGGTTCTCCTTCCA